AAACATATAGCACACACAAAAATCCACTCGTTCGGAATCGCACCCAGCAGATAATCGGTGTTATTAGTATTCGTGGACAGGAGGTCCTCGCGGTTCCACACGTAGGCGGCGCTACTCCCTCGTCCTATCTTATCGTCCAGCCAGGAATTAATGAGGTTCTTCCCGTCCTTTCGGTAGCCGTAGCGAGACTCTTCGACGTCCAATACATCGTTGGGTGTGAAGACTCGCCGGCCGCCGCCCATGATCACCTACAGGAGGAAGAGTTCGTTGGGTAGTTAGATGGTGAGAGGGGCGTGGTAGGAGGAAGGTGTGCGTGTGTGTGTTTGTGGGTGTGGGTGTGGGTGTGGGTTTGCTTGTGTGAGTTTGTGTGCTTGTATGTGTGTGTGTGTGTGTGTGTGTGTGTTATAGCACACACACACCTATTTTATGAAAGACAAGCCTATATATCAAGAAAGAATCGTATACAATGTAGGCGAAACAATACTTTTCTTTGGATGTTGGAATTTTAAAATCTTATATACGGTAGATTATATAGTTTTATCAAATGCTGCTGCATTCAACATCACTTTATTTATTTTTTTTTCTACAAGAGACTAGATATTCGGAGTTCTCCAGACTCTAGAACTGCCAGGTTTTCCTTCCCTGAGGCTGGACGGAGTATAGCCTGGTTGTTAAATCTAGGGCACTGGACTAAATAACAACTAATAATGAATTACTTCCCAGCACAAGAAACTTCCTTGGCGCGTTTCTACCAGTTCTTCATAAGCAGTAAAATAACTGAACAAGCAAAGGCGATGTATTTCACGATTTCGAGTATCAAGCCTTCGTCACAGTTACATTTATTTCTGATTGAGGATTTAATGGGAACGCGTCAAATACAATTCTTAAGCTCTCAAGTCATTCACCGTCATTTATAACTCTTTCTACGTTTGTCACAGTGAAATTATTTCAAGTTACCAGACGTCACAAGTCGCCCACTCCATTGTTTACATTTTGTCTTTCGCCCGAAAAAAAGTTTTGAGATCTGGAAAACAATTGTTTATTATGTATTTCCTTTATTTTCTGTTCCTGGCATTTTGGCTTTCTGTTTTTTTTTTGTTTTTTTTTAGGCGTTTTTATGGATATAGTTTTATCGTGAAATATTCATGTTTTAGATATTTGCTTTGTCCAAACACACACACACACACACACACACACACACGCACACACACACGCACACACGCACGCACGCACGCACACACACACACACACACACACACACACACACACACACACACACACACACATATACACACACACACACACACACACACACACACACACACACACACACACGTTCACGCTTGATCTATCACGAACAGTCGACAGTAAAGTAAGTAATTGTTATTGATTAACAACTTTTTTGGTCGTAAAAAAAAAGAAATATAATCTATACTGTTTTTAGTTTCATTTCTTAATTTGTTGAAATATAAACTATACATTTAAAAAAATACCTTCATTCATTTTGTTTTCCATTTTTAAAAAGTATTAAGTTTCAGGATTATTCTGTTTAAATTAAAGAGACTGTCAGTGAAAATGGGAAACAGCGAGAGGGAAGGATGACGAGGGGGAAAGTTCGGGAAAAAAGGGAAAATGAAGTAACAGGATTGAGACAAAGGGAAGGAAAGAGAAGGGAAGAGGAGGAGGAGGAGGAGGAGGAGGGGAGGAGGAGGAGCAGGGGGGGAGGAGGAGGAGGAGGGGGAGGAGAAACAAGGGGACGAGGAGGATGGAAAGGGTGAAAATTGGAGAAAAAAGGGGGATACAAAGAATGGAAGAAAAAAGGAAATACAGAGAATGGAAGAAAAAGAAGGAGATACAGAGAATGGAAGAAAAAGAAGGAGATACAGAGAATGGAAGAAAAAGAAGGATATACAGAGAATGGAAGAAAATGAGGAAGATACAAAAAATGGAAGAAAAGGAGATACAAAGAATGGAAGAAAAAGAATGGAAGAGAAGGAGAGAGGCACAAGGAATGAAAGTAAAAGAGGTTAAAGCAGAGAACGTGAGGAATCATAAAAATGAAGAGAAGAAAAGGGGGGGAAAGTGTGAACAGGATAAATACAAAAAGATAAAAAAAATGAAAAATGAAAAAATAAAGTACAAGATGTTAAACGGAAAAAAAACAGGGAATGAGAGGGATGATAAGAAAGAGAAAGAAAAAGAAAAACGGGGAAACAAAAGGAATATAGAATGGAGGAGAAAAGGAGAAAATAAGGAACGCGAGGAATAATAAAAAATAAGGGAAGAAAAGGGGGGGAAGCGAAAGAGACAAGGAAAGAAGGGAATAAGAAAACAGCTTACCATTAGATAATAAGAAAGAAAAAAAAACGAAAAATGAAAAGATTTGGAAAGAAAGATAGATAAAAAAGGAGAAAATAAAGAAAATAGAGAACATGAGGGATTAGAAAAAAGAAAAATAAATAATAAAAAATCATAAAAAGAATAAATGGAAGAAAACGGG